AATTTTTGTATAACTCCAAGAGACAAAATCTAGCATGTCATGCTGAGGAAGAAGGATAGATAGTCCCATGTCATGCTGAGGAAGAGGGATAGATAGGCCCCGTTGTGCATCAATTGTACACAACGTTTGTGTGACCAAATCATCACCCCAATTATTAGAAACAAGATCAATGAAGTCCGACAACTTAGACAACAGATGTCCCCCTTTAGGAGCGATCACTTTTCTATCAGCACAATTTGGGAACCAAGCATATCCCTGCATATCAATATTCTGATCATTCCAACTCATCAGATATAACCATGTTTCAGAGAGTTTTATCGTCATAATACTTCTCCAAGTAAAAGTGGATCCTTTTTCTAACTTTAGACTCACAAGATCACCATCATAAAAATGCTTAGCTCCCAAAACAGGGACATAAAGAATCGGGATTCTCAAGAAGAGTCAGGCTTGTTTGGCCAGCATCGTTAGATTGAAACAACGAACACCATGAAAACCCATCCGTCCTTGATTTTTTTTGGGACTCACATTTTTCACCAAGCCATACAATGCATTCTCTTCTTTTTATCCTCGTCACCCCACCAAACTCTTGACACTACGTCAATAATTCCTTTGCATTTTGTTAGCAATTTTAAAGACAGACATAGGGAATAGCTTGAACAACAAACTTGAGGAGAACGTTCTTCCCTCCAATAATAATTTGATGCCATCCTCTAATTTAATACGATTACTGACAACAGACTCCATATCCAAACCACCGTTGGCTGGCAAACCCAAGTATATGTTATTGAGAGCCTCGATCATGATATTCAGAGCTACAGCGATCACCTGATGGCATGCCCTATGGTCTTCTCCAACCACATCACCTACTTGAATCGAACTGAGTGACTGCCCACACATCGTGTAGAACCCATCCTTTTTTGTAGGGAGTAGAATTTCATATTAGGAGGAATGTGAATAAATGGCACACTTTTTCACTTTAATCCAATGGCGCATTTTTCTTTTGCTGTGATAAAGTAGTAGCACATTTCCCCCATGCTCTTTGTCCTTCTCATCGACATGTTGAACTCGCTTCTCCAGCGAGCCGTCGAACAAGGCCTCCTTTAGTGGTTGACCATGAGGCACCTGGCATCGAGCATCTCCCTCTATGTGGACGATGTTGTCATTTTTTGCTGCCTCAACACACGCGACATCCGCACCATTCGATGCTTGCTCGATGTTTTCGGCAAGGTTTCAGGGCTTTGCACAAATTTCGCCAAGTGCTCTGCCTCGCCCATCTGCTGCACTGATGAGCACATCGCCATGATCACGGCTAGGATGGCCTGCCCAATTGCCTAGTTCCCGGTGAAGTATCTTGGCCTCCCGCTATCCATACGCAAGCCATCGACAACCGATCTCATGCCGCTCGTCGAGATACTAGAGAAGAAGCTTTCCACTTGGTCCAGGTCTATGCTCTCCCTTGGGGACGGCCTCGCACTTTGTAGGCATGTCCTCTGCGCCATGCCCATCCACATCCTCGTCGCCATTGCCGTTAACAGGACCATCCTCATACGGGTTAACCGAATCATTCAAGGCTTCTTATGGGTCGGGCGTAAGGATGCGCGAGGAGGGCAGTGCCGCGTTAATTGGGACCGTCTGTGCCGCCCCTGAAAGGATCGAGAAGAGGTGTCTAGAGGGGGGTGATTAGACACTAAGTGCCAAAAGTTGCAGTTTTTAATTTCTTTAAGTTTAAGTGGAGTTTTGGCACAAGCTTAACAATCATAATACATATCAAGCAAGCATGCAAAGAGTATATGAGCAGCGGAAATTAAAGCATGCAACTTGCAAGAATGTAAAGGGACGGGATTGGAGAATTCAAACGCAATTGGAGACACGGATGCTTTTGTCATGGTTTCGATAGGTGGTGCTATCGTACATCCACGTTGATGGAGACTTCAACCCACAAAGGGTAACGGCTGCGCGAGTCCACGGAGGGCTCCACCCAAGAAGGGTCCACGAAGAAGCAACCTTGTCTATCCCACCATGGTCGTCGCCCACGAAGGACTTGCCTCACTAGCGGTAGATCTTCACGAAGTAGGCGATCTCCTTGCCCTTACAAACTCCTTGGTTCAACTCCACAATCTTGTCGGAGGCTCCCAAGTGACACCTAGCCAATCTAGGAGACACCACTCTCCAAGAAGTAACAGATGGTGTGTTGATGATGAACTCCTTGCTCTTGTGCTTCAAATGATAGTCTCCCCAACACTCAACTCTCTCTCACAGGATTTGGATTTGGTGGAAAGAAGATTTGAGTGGAAAGCAACTTGGGGAAGGCTAGAGATCAAGATTCATATGGTAGAAATGGAATATCTTGGTCTCAACACATGAGTAGGTGATTCTCTCTAAGAAAATGTAAGTTGGAAGTGTAGGTTCGTTCTGATGGCTCTCTCCACGAATGAAGAGGAGGTGGAGGGGTATATATAGCCTCCACACAAAATCTAACCGTTACACAAAACTTGCCAATCTCGGTGGGACCGAATTGAGAAACTCGGTCGGACCGATTCAGTAAATCTAGTGACCGTTAGGATTTTCGGTGGGACCGACATGCAACTCGGTAGGACCGATATGGTTAGGGTTAGGGCATAACGTAATCTCGATGAGACCGATTACACAAACTCGGTGGGACCGATTTTGGTAATAAGCTAACCAGAGAGTTGGTCCGGTAAACTCGGTGGGACTGGTTCGCTCATTTCGGTGAGACCGAAATGTTACGAAAGGGAAACAGAGAGTTTACATTGCAATCTCGGTGGGACCGGTTACACAAACTCGGTGAGACCGATTTTGATAATGGACATACAGAGAGATTGCAATCCCATCTCGGTGAGACCGAGATCCCTATTGGTGAGACCGATTTGCCTAGGGTTTTGTGGCAGTGGCTATGACATCTGAACTCGGTGGCGCCGGATAGAAAGAATCGGTGGGGCCGATTTTGAATTTTGGTTTAGGTCATATGTGGATGTGAGAAAGTAGTTGAGGGTTTTGGAGCATATCACTAAGCACTTTGAGCAAGAACCTCATTAAGCAACACCTCATCCCTTCTTGATAGTATTGGCTTTTCCTATAGACTCAATGTGATCTTGGATCACTAAAATAGAAAATATAGAGTCTTGTGCTTGAAGCTTGAGCCAATCCTTTGTTCTTAGCATCTTGAAGGGGTTCCACATTCTTTAGTCCATGCCACTTCATTGTTGAACTTATCTGAAACATACTAGGTAAAAATGTTAGTCCAACAAGAGATATGTTGACATAAATTACCAAAATCACCCAGCGAGCACTTCAGCCCCACATCTCTCGACGGCATGGGAATTCGTTATTTGCAGCGCACCGGTGGATGTGGCTCCAGCGAACTGACGCGTCGCGCCCCTGGAGTCAGCCTCATCTCCCTCACGATCCGGCGGCCATGCAGATATTCCAGGCCTCTAACACCTGGGAGGTACGTGACGGTCGAACATGCAAGTTCTGGACCGACCCGGGCAAGGCCATGTCGGAGCTCACGCTGTTGGTTTTCTCCATGGTTCCTAAACGTTGTCGCCGTGATCGGACGGTGGCAGAGCGCCTGCCTAGGCGCGCTTGGGTGCGCGATATTGCTGGCGCACTCGGCCCAGCCGTCCTTGCGCAGTACGTTGACCTCTGGCATATACTGCAGCACACAACCCTCGAGGCTGGGCCGAACGTGCTGCGCTGGAAGTGGACGGAGTCCGGTGCCTACTCTGCCAAGTCCTGCTACCTAGCCCTTTTCCATGGCTCTACGACGGATGCTTCATGGAAGCTTACCTGGAAGATTTGGGCCCCTCTCCGCATCATGGTCTTCTTCTGACTCGCCTTGCAAGATCGGTGTTGGACGGCAGACCGCCTTGCCAGACGTGGATTGCCACACAACGACCGGTGTGTACTCTGCGACCAGGCCACCGAGGACATGCAGCACCTTTTCGCTGCTTGCTCCTTCTCGCGCCAGATATGGCACGAGGTCATATCCTGGTGTCGTTCGACTACCATGATCCCGAGTCCGGATACACCATTCACGGAATAGGGGATTGTTGCTTGTTCTTCGTCACCCACAACCCTACGTAAAGGGCTCAACTCCATCATAGCCCTCACCGCGTGGCGATTTGGAAGCATCGGAATGGATGCATCTTTGATCAACTACAACCCTCCACCGCAAGACTACTCGAGTTCATTCAAGAAGACGCTCGCCTATGGGCTAGCACGGCGCCAACGGCTTGGCGATCATGATCCCTGAGAGATAGAGTCTAGCTTGATGTATTGGGGATGAGCAGCCCCCTCCTCTCACGGCTCCGGCTACTTCAGCCCGCGACAGCTTATGTACGCGTGGCTACTGTAGCCGACATTTGTACTTTTTCACCTCTTCCATCAATGCAATGATACATAATCTTTGCATATTCGCGAACAAAGAAAAAAAAGTAGTAGCACATATTTTCTTCAGAGTTGATAAAATGGCACAAGTTGGGTTCTCCCCTGTGTTCCACGTCTGGGCCCGCCCGTTGCGCTCGCCTGTTTCCTCTGGTTCGACCCATTCGTCCAGAACGAACAGAAAGCAGGCGCGAGACAGGTCAGAGGAAGAGCCACCGCCTCGCAGTGCTTCCTCTTCCCGGCGCGCCGCACGTCCCCCCTCCGCCGCCTCGCCGTGCTTCTACAACCCCGGCGCTCCTACCATTCCAACTCACAGGTGGCCTGACCTCCCAACATCAACAAAACATCCAAAATGCTACAGGCATCCAGCAACTACACCCACAGCTACAGCCAGGCGGCAGCACGCCAGCGACGCGAGCGCTCGTTCCAGAGCAAGCCAACCAGCCAGCAGGAGCCTCGGGTCATTGTGCCTCCTGGCGCACGGTCCACGCACGCCAGAGACGGCTCCGGCCAATGCTCCGGCGAGGGCTCCAGCGCCGCTAGCGAGCGACCTGGACACACGGCGCCGATAGGAGGTCCGACCTGAGCGGCGCATGATCCGGAAAGGCTCCGCGCGTGTAAGCCCGCGCTCCCTGAAGCAAATCCATGGGAACCTGGTCGTCAAGGGCATCGCCTCGCGCCTCCAGCCCCTGCGGGACCTGCTACTCGCGTGCGTCTCCTCGTTCCGCGGCACCATGGGCTACGCCCGCAAAGTGTTCGACGGAATCCCCCACCCGGACCTCTTCATGCACAACGTCATGGTCCGCGGCTACGCGCACGGCGGCGCGCCCGCCGCGGCCTTCGCCTTGTACCGACGCATCAGGACGGCTGGCCTGAGGCCCGACGCCTTCACGTTCTGCTACCTCCTCCGGGCCAGCGCTGGCTTGCCAGGCTCTTGCGCCGGGTACCAGGTCCATGGCGTCGTCCTGAAGCTGGGCTTCTTGAATGATGCGTTCGTGAGGAATGCGCTTATCAACATGCATGCCAAATGTGGGGATTTGAAGGTGGCCGGTGCGCTTCTTGAGGAGGCCGGCGAGGGGGATGTCGTGGCGTGGTCGGCTGTCATAGCGGGGCATGCCGCTAGAGGTGACTTGAACATTGCTCGGCAACTGTTTGATGATTGTCGGCACAAAGACTTGGTGTGTTGGAATGTAATGGTGGCAGCGTATGCTAAGCATGGGGAAATGGAGAAGGCGAGGGAGCTGATTGACCGTGCGCCGGAGACAGATGTGGTTTCGTGGAACACTATTATCACAGGGTACTCCACGAAGGGGATGCTGAAGGAAGCATTGGAGGTGCTTGATGAAATGAAGTGTGCGGGCTGGTTGCCTGATGAGGCAACTATTGTTAGCTTGCTTTCGTGTTGTGCGAACTTAGGGTCGCTTGACACAGGGAGGATGATACATTCAATGCACTTGGAAGGTAGACCGTGTACAAGTATTGTGCTTGGAAATGCATTGGTATCAATGTATGCAAAGTGTGGAGATCTGCAGGCTGCATTGGAAGTCTTTAGCAGGACGAAGGAGAGGGATGTTTGGACATGGAACTCGATCATCGGCGGGCTGGCCTTCCATGGGCAAGCAGAACAGTCCATCCAATTCTTCAATAAAATGCTTCAACAAGGAATGTGCCCAAATGCTATTTCTTTCCTCTGTGTTCTCGGTGCATGCAGTCATGCCGGATTAGTTGAAGATGGTCAGAGATGTTTCTCTTTGATGAAAGACAGGTACAAGATCGAGCCAAATGCAAAGCACTACAGTTGCATAGTGGATATGCTTGGCCGTGCAGGCTTACTGGATGAAGCATTTGCAATTCTGAGCAGCATGAGGTGCGAACCTAGTGCAGTCATATGGAGGACTCTGCTTGGTGCCTGCAAGATCCACGGGAATGCAGCCCTTGGCAAACTTGCCAGGGAGAGGCTTCTAAAAATGAATGAAGATGCAAGCGAAGATTATGTGCTGCTCTCTGGCATTTACGCGTCATGTGATGAATGGTTTGGAGTGGAGACATTGCGGGGATCAATGGATGAAAGGGGGATAAGAAAGGCTGCTGGTTTTGCCCAGGTTGACCATAAAACTTCCTGTCTTTCAGCATTGTGATGTGTGGATATCCTACAATGGAATTCGATGAATACTAGGGTTGTGTCCACGCTCTGTTTTCCATTTTATGCCCGGTAACCAGAAAGTGGCAGAAGTAGCACCCTTGTATGCTGATACCAGTAGCAAGGAGACCTAGACAGTAAATCACATTCAAAACGTCGAGTGTTGATGATTTCACTTGGAGCTAGCAGCATCAGTGCAACTAGCAGGTATGGAGTTTCCAGCTAATGACATGTCTCAGTTTTTTTATCTAGTTATGCAGAAATTTACCAACAGCTCCAGTGAAAAGTATAGTACCCAAACCATGATATTTATTTCTGTAACAACCGTATAAGAAGTACAAAAGCCGATACAGAAGAAGTAACACACCATCAAGGCGGTGCACAATATAGGCTCACAGATTATTACATTAAGCACGCAAGTACAAGAACCACACCATATCACACTTATACTTCAGGGAGCAAATGATGGACAATTTGGTCTAGCGCCTGGCCAGGGCAATGGCTGAGAGTTTGATGAGCAGTATCAGCAAAACCATGGCTCCAAACGAGCCAACCAGGGAGCCAGAGATACGCTCGCAGAAAGAATCCAATTGCTGGCAAATAGCAAGCCAGTTTGCCCTGACATTGCCCTTGTGTGCCAAGTAGACAATAGCTGTTGCTGCAGATGACGCTGCGGTGACCAGAGCTAGCATTGCCTTCACAAGAAACACAAGGAAACTTAGTAGCTGATACAGTTATTGATGCATGCTTCTCTTTCTTCAATATTCTAGATTAGTAACCATGCATAGTTTCATGCAGGATGACATGATAGTAATCGAAGTGTTTGAAACTGACACACTTTGCACTAGAGAAAAATCTAGTCTTACCGCGTCAAAAATGATCAAGACCAGCCTGCTATATTTAGCCCCGCTCCTAATTATGTGCGCAATTGACACTGGGAGCGAAAGGATGAGATAGGCGCTCACAACAGAATTTGCCACCACGAAGAACCTGTCAAAATAAAATTCAAACAGTTGGAGCATCAGATCATAACCTTGTTCTATCTGAAAGTATATGCTATCAGGTACTGAAGATTCTTCCGCACGTACGTGAGAGCCGGGAGATCGCTGTATCGGGCCTTGAACTGGATGAACGGCGTGAACAGAGGAAGCGTCTCATTGGTAGTCCCCATGGCAATGGCGCTCGCGAGGGTGCTGATGACCGCAATGACGCGAAGTATGAGGTCCAGTATGGACACTCCTCTACTGACCCCCCTGCTCAGGGGGGCCTTGGAGGTCTCACCCTGCTCGCCGGAGTCCATTCTGGTATTTTTCTTAAGCTGCTGGACTGATCAAAGACTCAAAACTGTTTCCCAGGTCTGAAGGAAACAGTCCATGCTCCCTGCTTATATATACATATACATGGGCGGACTGCCTATGGATTAGGTCAATTTGATGTTACAGCAGCTGGCGGTGCAAGGCGCCGCATGCTGGTGCGTGCTCCCAGGAGCATTCGGCTGGTACCTGCTCCACATAGCTCCATGGAGACAGCTGCATCGTTCCATTCAGGTTCTGTTGCAAGGCCTCCA